CTCTCTCTCTCTCTCTCTCTCTCTCTCTCTCTCTCTCTCTCCTCCCTCCTCCTCCTCCTCCGTCCCCGTCCCCCCACATACCTTGTGCTTCGATACGGACGCGGAGCGAGGCCGCCCCCCTCTCCTTAAAACCCTCCTCCGAGGTCTTCCCGCCCGGTCTGCCTCCCACCAGGCGACGCTCTCGAGCGCCCCCTACCGCCCAGCGGGAAGCTGCGCTTTCCTTCCCCAGACCGGGCGGCTTCGCCTTCGGCGCGAGAGGTGAGGGTTGCTCTCCTTTCCTTTGTCCTTGCTTTTTCATCCGTGCTGGAGGCTGACCCAGGTAAAGGGAAGAGCAATCCTGCCACCGCGTGGAAAAAGGAAGCTAATACCACTTGAACAAGGCTCTAAAAGGAGAGCGCTTTTTCCTTCTCCCCCCCCCCCCCCGCGCTCCAAATAACTGAAATCTCCTTGGAGGCTGTTGAGTTCCTTGGCTGCCTAGGGAAATAGCTTCCGTTGTCTTCTTTCAAGATTGCACTTTTTACTTCCCGGTTTGGCCTTCAAGCGTAGGATGTCCTCATAGTGCCCTATCGAAGTACCAGCTACGTCTAACGCGGCTTAATTTTGGAGCCCAGACCGGTTCTGCCTGATGCTCCAATTTGCAGAAACCAAGAGTAAAGAGACTGTAGTGGGAGACCCGTGTTCATCTTTGGTGGCAAAAAGACTCCTTCAAGTCTTTTTGGAAAGAGGAAGTTAAAATTCCACAACAACATGTCCAAACTTTTCTTTCTTTTGAGCTCCGTCAAAATCAGCTAGCAGGTGCTGCCATCTTCGGTGACCATCCCATTTTTAATTCCAGCCCTTGCAAGGTCTCAAAATGATTAGCAAGCATTGAGTGCTTCAGAATTCTTCTGCCTGCAATTGGATTGTCGTGGATTGAGGGGGAACTTCGTTCAAGTAACTTGTTAGGACTCTTCAGTATTGACCAACGCAGACATTGCCCATCTGATGGAGGGGAGTAGCATTAAGGAGGAGAGAAATGGAGGAGCTTTTTGGTTCTTCACATGAGTTTTTGGCTGGAGGTGTTGTAAGAAGCAGGCACGTTAGACAAAATTGATGCCACTGGGCCTATGGGTTCAGGCCCAAAGCCTCAGAGAACTGGAATAAGCCAGCTCTAGTTGCCAGGGAATGTTTAGTTAATTTAAATGATGGCTTGTTCAATTTTGGGTAGTTTTACCTCTGCTCCAGATCCGTTTTTCTCTTCGGTTGCTCAGTATGTTTACAGTTTACAGAATGGCTGTTTTGGTCTGTAGATCTCAACCTCATATAATTTGTGGCAGTTCAACCCTATTTGAGCAGGCCAAGGCAGGCATGTCTCTCCTCTCATATGGCCTGTTTGCCAGGTCATCTGCCAATCTACCCAACACCTCCATTCCCTACTTCCCCTCAGCCATCATATCTATCTACCTTGAATTCAAGTGCACTGTAGCGGAGTTAAGGGGAGGTAGGGAAAGATGGGAGGGGTGGAAGGTGGGTGAGCTGGCTGAAGATGCCACACTTAAATTCGAGAGTGATGGGTGCATGTCTGCACCTCCCGCATCATTCCTAACTCTAAACATAACCCTGATCCTTCCTCGCCTCCCCTTAGCTGCCCCCCACTTGAATTCAAATAGAGTATATGTAACTGGCTTGTCCAACCCTCCCTCTAATGCAGTGTTTCTCAACCTCAGCAACTTTAAGATGTGTGGACTTCAACTCTCAGATTTCCCTAGCCAGCATGGCTGGCTAGGAAATTCTGGAAGTTGAAGTCCACACATCTTAAAGTAGCTGAGGTCGAGAAACATTGCTCTGATGTTTCCAGTGCCTTCCTTTCCCTTCCTCCTCTTAGCTGCCTTTTCCAACAGCCTTTCACACTATCTCCATCCTGAAACCTGTGTTTCCAAGGATTATATGCTGCACTGGAATTCCAGGCTGCCTCGACTGAACAAATGTGTTCTGGTCTGAATGCAGGACACCCAAAAGTGCATGGAATTGTTTGTGCACACAATATTTTGAACGTTCCTAGAGAAGAATTGCTAGCAAATGCAATCTTTGAAAATATCACTGGTATTTTGAAATCTAGTAGGGTTTTTTTATACCTATTCTCAGAAAAGCAGGGAAGAGGACAGAGAATTAAGACAGAATTGTGGAGGAAGGAAATGAACCACTGAGGATTCCTGGAACAAAATGATGTTCCAGGAATCAGTCCCAGAACCTGGGAGAATTAACTCAGCAGGGTTCGAAGAACTGCCCTTCTCCCCACAGGAAGGAATTTTTTTTACATGTCAAGATCTTCGATTCCACAAATGAGGGGAAAAATGATTTTTTTGTGGCATGGAAAGAACCAGGAAAAAGATCAGTATTGAGGTTAACAGCATTTACTTGGATGATCCATTTTGTGATAGC